TTTATCTTCATGATTTCAAATGCAAATGCCCTTGTTCCATTTTTCCCACACATATATACAAGGGTCAGCAAGAAAGTGAACCCAAAAAGTCACAGTGCATACAAACTAACCCTTGAATTCCTCCCTGAGTAAACTAATATACCATGCTTTCATTCTCAAAACAAGAAAGCAATTAGAATATAATGAAATAATCCACCATCAAAGGCAGCAATATTCACATAAAACATTGTCCGCAAGACCCAAAACCAAGCAGAGGTTACAAAGATTGGCAAACAAAGAAATGTCACATACCAAAAAGGGCAAACAATTCTCTCTCCATCCCCAATTTAATTACCTTTTCAGCTTATCAAGTCAATTAGGTTTTATTGGAGCTACATCGGGATACTAATTATTATGTCAAAATGATGAAAGAGTCCATTCCAAAAAATTAGGCAAAATTCAGTTCGTTTGACTCTTGAGAAGCAAACAGGAAATTAAATTGGTAGAAGGCATATTAAGACACAAAACAACCATAACATAAATTAGATCCAATAAAAATCTAGAGAGTGCATAAAAATCAGCAAAGAATTAGCATACAAATTCCAAACCCTAGGAATGACGAAAATGAATTGAAAAAAAGAAAGAGAAAAGGGAACGTACCCAGAAATGAACGGCATGGGGTTTATTTGGAAGAGGAAGAAGATTGGGACTTTGAATAATAAGAAGCGTAAGTGGGAGGAGAATAGATCACGGCGGCAGCCATAGCTCCAGGGAACACTACATATTTAGCTATCAGCGCCACCTTCCTCACCAATGGCTCTCCCTTCATCAACGCCATTTGCTTAATGCTTAACCCTTTTTTGATCAACACACACAGTTTTCTTCTATTGCTCTCTCTCTGATTGTTCGCAGCCCTAACCCCCTTGCTATAATCTGATCCCCTATTTTATTTCTCAAATCCACCATCGGTTTAGAAATGGTCCGACCCGATTCCAATCCACATACGCCTGGTCCTAACTCTTTTTTTTCTTTATATATTTCGATAATGTCTTTTTTTTTCTTTTTCTTTTTGGTGAAAAGAGAAAAGGATAATTCTAGTTTTTATTTTTATCTACGAGTGACATGTAAAACTTCACTTGTTTATAAACAAACTGAATATATAGTACTTTTATAATTTAATTACCTTCGAGTGCGCATGCTATATTATTATCTATTATATATTGGAAAAAAATTGATATGAATAAGGAGAATTAACAGAAATAATCGACAGAGTTAATTATAATTTATTTTTGATTGAAACTTAATTGGTTGATTGGATATAATCACGTTGGAATTAATTGATCTGTAAATGAAAGTAGCATATTATGTGAGAATGATTTAACATTGCTAGATTCCAAACCGATGAACGATATGCTAGAAATCTCACAAACGATGTTTACATAAAAGAAACATGCTTTATAGACAAATATCATGTAAAATTTTAAAAAAAGATGCAGAACTAGATATGAATTCTCACCCATTGACGTTACCTACTTTCTTTGTGTATAAGATAATTATACACTTTTAGAAACTCGGATTAGATGGTGTAAATATCACTAACGGCACAGTACTGGAACCTAATATAACTTTATTAAATAATTCTACAAACATTTACAAAAATTTCGAAACAAAAAACAAATTCCATGTCAAAACTCTTGAGATGTTCGTGAAATAAAATTCCTATTAGTGTGGCTTTAGGTTGAAGAAATTAAATTGATGAATTAATCTCCTAAAACGAATGGAGAAAACCTGAAAATTGATTAATTCTAATGAAATATTATTACATTATTTTGCATTCCCATTCATATCGGCATACAAAAAGCTATTTGAAAAGTTGATTCCTAATGTTTTTAGGAAAGTTTTGTGTTTTGCTAATTTATACAATTATATCAAAAACATGAAGGCCCTTAGCAGAATATCGTTCGCCTTATTCACCCTTTATAAACATATTTTATATTAAATAAAATAGTAATTTTAGTTACTTATAGTCATTTTAATTAGTTCCCTAATATTCAGGAATAGTCATTAAATTATTTACCTAATATTTAGAATTTTGATATAGAAAAATGAAAATCATATAATTATTTAATTCAAATTCTTTCACTTTCCTTCCAATTCTAGGAGTCCTTCACTATCAAATCCCTTTAAACTTATGAGTATTTTATAAGTTCACGCGTATCATCTTTTTGTTGTAACTTTTTTTGTTTAAGAGTCCTTGTTGTCCTTTTCTTAATCCACTTTTAGGTTTGCGAGTTCTTTTTTTTTTTTTTTGGTTAAAAAGTTCTAGGTGTAGTTTTGCTAATTTTCTTTTTCTTGTTTAGAACTCCTTTTCTTCGTATATTAATTTAATTTGATTATACAAAATGAGATATAATAATTTCTTTTTTCTAATATATTGGAAATAATTCAAAAAAAAATTTCTTATTAACTAAATAACATAATTTGTATTTTATTATTGAAGAAATTATTGTTTTTTATCAATTTGCTAATCCAGTGGCCTAAAATGAACTTCTGAATAACTTTTCAAAAAAAAAAAAAAAGAAAAAGAAAAAAACTCTTAGTTTTCTAGGATTATATATAATTGCTGAAATTAAAAAGGAGGCATGATAACTTATGAATTTAAAGTGTTTGAATTATAAAATTAAAATAAACTTTTAGTCGAATATATTGACTGTTGAGGAGAACTTCTATGAAGATTCATCATTTTAGGAAATATTAACTTCTATTATAACTCAAATATAATATTTTAATATATTTATTATATCATATTTTAAATATTTTTTTATTGAAATATTGCACACGCGCAAAGCACGTATTATAAGATTAATACTAATATAAATATGAAAATGAACGGGAAAAAAGATTCCATATGTGTTTGGGGGAAAAAAATTCACGTTGCTTTGGATGAAAGCAAATGAACTTTAAATTTATGGTAAAAAAAATTTACGGAATTAAGTTTCCAAAATGAAAAAGAAAAAGAAAACGTTTCCTAAATCAAATCTTTCATAACTTTTCCTATCCAACGTAGGAATGCAAAAATGAAAACTTACTTTTCCCTAACCTAGTTAGAATGGGATTAAGAGTATTTTATTATAAATAGACCATTAGGAAAGCATTTACCTTGTTCTTTTTAAGTAATTTTGTTAGGGTGACAAAATTTTCTTGCGTTGCGTTGGTGGTAGAATAATTTGAAGCATGGATTTAGAAGCAGTGTTTATGAGTGTTTTTTGCATAGGAAAAAAACCAGATAATATATTTGAGTTGATTAAAGCTGCTATAACAGTGGGTGAACGGAAGTATCCTAAGGAGTTTAAGAAGCATCAAAATAAAATATTAAAGCAGTTGATGAATTCTGGAGTACTGAGTGCTAAAGAAGATTTCGAGAATGGTTACGATTCTTCCATTGAAGAGGAGGAGCAGATGGATGCAATAAAGAGTTTCAAGAAAGACGAGCACAGTTTTTTTGAAGATCAAGAAAATCATGAGAAAGAAAACTGCAATACTGAAAAGACCAACTCTACTGTGACTACTGAAAATCAGAGTTTCAACAAGACAAATATTGAGACTCAAGGCAAAAACATGAATACAACAGTAACATCGATGTCCAAGAATTGCACTGGTGGTTCAAAGAAGATCAAGCTGCCCATTAAAAAACACAAACAATTGGATGATGGTGATCAAAAAGGAAGAAAACAGAGCCAAATCAATATTCTGCAGACTACTACTATTATTAATCTGAAATCAGCAACAAAGGTTGACTGCATCAAAGTTATGAGGAAGAGCGGCAAAGATTTCAAGGAGACGGACAGTGACGCTGACGCCCAAAGCAAAAACACTGTATTAGTGAAGAAGAAGAGATCGAGAGTGGATTTTGAATCAAGTAAAAGGAAATATGAGGATAGGTTGGCAGAGCAAAACAAAGCAAAGAGAAGGACCATTATGGTGGACTTTCACGAGATGCCTAAGCCAGCTAATGATCCCTGTGCTCCCAAACGCTGCTGGAATAGGAGAAGGTTTTGAGACAATATTGTGATTCCATTGACCCATGAGAATCTTTGTATTGTTATTCACTTGACTATTTTTTTAGTTAGACCACTCCAGGGTATAATCCCTTAATTTTGTATATGCAAATTTTATCAATCCATTGAAATAATATTAGAGTTACAATTTCACCCGTGTAGCTGTATCTCATGCTTTTAGGATCTGTTATCCATTACCTTCTAAGATTATGTTACTAATTAAAGCTGGGATGTTGTTACTCTTGATTCTGCTTTAAACCTACCTTATTCTTCTATCTTTTTATTTCTGAGTCTTAGTTGACTATATATTCAGTATTTTGTTTATTTTATTTTTCTCATCTTAAGTGAACTCTTAGTTTATTCTTGCTTTCCCTTGCACCGGTAGGCAAGCAAATCAGGAAGTCTTTGGACTCACTATCTGCTAATTTACTTAAGTTTAAAAGTTTCGCGACAGAAACCTGCACTATTTTCAATTTAGAGTTGAAAAGCATTGCTCAATTTGCAACATTTACTATTAATGGACAAGTTTCTATGATACAACTATATGGACAAGTTTTTACATAATAACCAAGTTTGCTAATATCTGCCAGAAGAGCAGGATATATATATATATATATAGTTCAAGTAAATTAATTGAATCAGGAACTCAACTTTCAGTTGGTACTTGAGCTAAAACACAAATGAATAGCTAGTGGAGAGCATTCAAATGCGAATGGTTATAGTATAGAATGTGCAATCGGAGACTATATATGTAAGGACTTTGATTTTGTATACCTTAAACTTTTAGGAAAAGCAATATTTTGCAACAAAGAATCTTAAAAATGGGACAACTTTACTGCAAGACTGACTAGGCTGAGCTGCCTGCATTATTGCTTATTACTAAGGCTTATTACCTTTTCAGGTGAAATTTGCCAGCAACGTCAACTTTTTTCTTTCAATAAAAAACATAAATAACAATAGGCATTAAGTGAGCATAAGTTATCTCTTTAATTTAAAATAAAATTGTCACCGAGATATCAATGCATTAATGGTTTAGACATCTTTGATTCCGTACCTATAAAAATTCACAACTATATTTACTCATGCTAATTATAAGAAAATTATAAGTCACTCTTGCAAGTTTTAAAACTGTGGTAGCATTTTTCTATAGAATAAATTCAATATATTAAATCAGAAATATTAGACTTCCAATCAAACTTTAAGTGCCTGCAGTCGATCAAACATTGAACGCGATCCAGAGCTGCATGTCTATGCTGCAATAATACTGAAGATCCATTGTCTTCTGGCTTCTGCTCCTCAGTAGTCTTCATTTTGCGGGGCAGTTTTCTTGAAACTTGTTTCCATTTTGATTCAAACGCACAAGCTACAAGTTCAAACAGAAGTAGAGTTAATAACTTGCTCAATCTCTAAGCTCGAGGTGAAAGCAAGTGAAAACTAACTGCTTTAGGAAGAGAAATTATTTATTCAACATTAACTAAAAGGTTACGGTATAAGAGAAATTTTTATTACATTATAAGAGAAATTTGTTTTTCTGCTATTGAGAATTAGTTGTCGTGGCAAGTATATAAGAAAGAATGATCCACATGATTTCTTAATAAATATCCTGTCTCATCTAAAGCTGAAAAGGTCGACAGTGCTTTACAATGACACCCACCCGAAAACAATCAAAAGGCACTTTGTTTTTATAATGGTAGTGTTCGAACCAGCTTGCATTAACCTCGACTATTTTACTAGATATCTAGTACATCCCCCCGATATTCTATCCACCAAGGCTTCGCCAAATGTGAATAAATCACCTAGCATTTTTTTGTCTCTACTTGGGTAATCAAAGGGACTTACTTAAGAGAAAAGCATAAGCTTCTCAAGCCTGCTGAATTTTATGCCCATAGATCCTAAGATGCAGTCGAGTGATGGTTTTATTTTTAACACTCTTAGAAAAAAGTCTCACCCTCCACTTTACTGTGAAGAGATGTTTTTGTTTTAGATAGTTGAGGTACTACTTCTCTTAGAAGCAAAGGACCGAGAAAAGATTTGGCTCCTTTGATTGTAAAAACCAATCCAATGCTTTTGCTTTTTCAATTGCTAAGCAGATTAACAAAGCTGGAAATGTCCTCTCAGCAAGAGATCCATGAAGATGAAGAAGATAAAGAACAAGAAAATAGTACTCCCTCCGGTCGACAATAAGTGACCAATTTACTTTGTGCACACCCATTAAGAAAATACTAAATTCTAGACGAGAATAATTAGTGTGACTAAACTACCCTTCATTAAATGTTGCACCATAGTTATAGTAGTACTTATTTCTCTTCTCAAATGTGAGGAGTAAATGACTTTTTAGGGATACGTACATAAAGGTAATTTTGGAAAAACAAATTGAATTTTTTCTTGATTATATGAATGGACATTTATTTTGGACCAAAATAAAAAAGCAAATTGTTCACTTATTGTGGACCGGAGGGAGTAAGAAAGAAAAATCCACTTCTGAAATGTTGTAAAGTTTTACCGATACACCTAATTTCACACTGGTTAATATTGGATATTCTTGTCCTAAAGTCTTTGGCGACCATGGTGATGCTCTAATTCCTCAGATACTCACAAGCAAAGTAATTGCATACCAGACAATCACTTTTAGCTAATCATGTTGTTGGTTCAGAAGACAAGTAATGCTTGGGATGATTAGGTTGTCTTAGTAATGATATAGGCAGGTCTCATCACTACTGATCCTTCTCCAGAACCATTATACTATTATAGCAATCAATTCTTGTAGGTCTGGTCACTTAATGTGCAATGACAGGCATTGGTAAAAGCAAATCAAACAGGGTTTTTCTTGTCCGAAATGACGACGTCAAACTTAGGATCGAGACAGTTGTGAATAATGGCTTGGGACATTTAAGAGTCAACAACCAGCAGGAATATGTCTATTCTGGAGAGCTACAATGGATTCAGAGTTTCAACTTAGCTATAAAATAGTGTTTCAGGAATAGGCTGCACCACACCTAATCATAATTTGTTTTGCAACTTGTAAGCCGGATACTCAGGCTTGATTATTACCCAGTTAAAAAGATATTGTCAGTATTAAGTCTGAATTGAGGGTAGGTCAGGAGTAGAGTGGCTGTCCAGGTTATTCAATGTGATCTTCAGGACTAAGAGGATGCCGGAGGAGTGGAGGTGGAGTACAGTGGTGCCCGTGTATAAGAACAAAGGGGATATCCAGTGTTGTAACAACTATAGGGGTATCAAATTACTAAGCCACACCATGAAAGTCTGGGAGCGGGTGGTTGAGGCGAGGGTGAGGGAGATAACGTCTATATCCGTGAACCAGTTCGGTTTCATGCCGGGCCGCTCCACTACAGAAGCTATCTACCTTGTCAGGAGATTGGTGGAACACTTCAGGGATAAGAAGAAGGACCTGCACATGGTGTTTATCGACTTGGAGAAGGCGTACGACAAGGTCCCAAGGTAGGTGCTATGGAGGTGTCTGGAGGTGAAGAGCGTGCCGGAAGCCTACATCAGAGTGATCAAGGACATGTACGATGGAGCTAAGACTAGGGTTAGGACGGTGGGTGGCGACTCAGACCATTTCCCGGTGGTAATGGGGCTTCATCAAGGATCTGCACTTAGCCCTCTCTTATTTGCTTTGGTGATGGATGCTATAACACGCCATATTCAAGGGGATGTGCCATGGTGTATGCTATTTGCTGATGACATAGCCCTGATAGACGAGACGAGGGTCGGTGTTAACGAGCGGTTGGAGGTCTGGAGACAGACTCTCGAGTCCAAGAGTTTCAAACTAAGCAGGGCTAAGACAGAGTACCTGGAGTGCAAGTTTAGCGCCGAGCCGAGCGAAGTAGGCGGGGACGTCAAGCTTGGATCTCAGGTTATCGCCAAGAGGGACAGTTTCAGATATCTTGGGTCGGTGATTCAGGGGGACGGAGAGATCGACGGGGATGTCACTCACCGTATAGGGGCGGGGTGGTCGAAATGGAGGCTTGCATCAGGAGTCTTGTGTGACAAGAAAGTGCCACAGAAACTCAAGGGGAAGTTTTATAGAGTTGTGGTTAGACCTGCCATGTTGTATGGGGCTGAGTGCTGGCCGGTGAAGAATTCCCATGTCCAGAGAATGAAGGTTGCGGAGATGAAGATGCTCAGGTGGATGTGCGGGCTCACCAGGTTAGATAAGATTAGGAATGAAGTTATTCGGGAGAAGGTGGGGGTGGCCCCAGTAGATGAGAAGATGCGGGAAGCGAGGCTCAGGTGGTTCAGGCATGTGCGGAGGAGAAGCCCCGATGCCCCGGTGAGGAGTTGTGAGCGGCTGGCGGTGGTTGGCGCGAGTCGAGGCAGAGGGAGGCCCAAGAGGTATTGAGGAGAGGTGATTAGGCAGGACATGGCTAGAATGTGGATTTCCGAGGACATGGCCCTTGATAGGAAAGTCTGGAGGTCTAGTATCAGGGTTGTAGGATAGGGGCTTCTAGAATTTTTCGTACTTCTGTCCCAGGGCTGGGGGAGGGGGGAGGTTTGGTAGGGCTCTCCATAGATGATATGTGTATTGTATTGTGCCCCCTTATGGTAGTTACTGGTCGATATAGTTGCATGCCATTTTATTTATGGTTTATGTTTAGATAATTATTTATGTGATTTCTGCTGGAGTTACTAATGCTCTTTTGTTTTTGTTTTTGTTTTCCTTTTCCTTTTCCTGAGCCGAGGGTCGATTGGAAACAGCCTCTCTGCCCTTTCGGGTAGGGGTAAGGCCTGTGTACGTATTACCCTCCCCAGACCCCACCTTGTGGGACTATACTGGGTAGTTGTTGTTGTTGTTGTTGTTTAAGTCTGAATTGAGTTCAACCTAAGCATAAAGCGAATACATAACACAATGGTAGCACAAATGAGGAAGAGCAAGCCATGGAATCTTGCAACAGAAAAGAGGAGCGAGATGATCAGTTTGAGGAATGTCCCATTAACAGTTAGAGCTCCACTTGTGTAGATTTTTTCGCTTAAGTTCATTGATACTATGCTATAACAATGAACAGACCACTGTTTTTATCTTCAATATTCAGCTACCTAAATGAAATAGACAAAAATCCAGGTGTTTAGCAGTAGATCTAGGCATTGTCAAGTCACTTTGTGCACCTACAGCGGGTAACTTGTGATATGCTTCCGTTTCTTATGAAAACAAGGAAGTGGAGAGAGTCTAAAAGAATTGACAGGTCCCTATTGAAAGAAAAAAGTAAGGCTGTTTGTTGATCATACATATAGAAGAACTGCAAATGCAACACACGTTGTAGAAAGTGTTAGGCCCTTGCAAAGATAACCAATGTTACTGGGAAGTTGTTGTAATCTGTATGCTTCTACAATTACAAACATTTTGGGCCACATGCGGGGGAAAAGCTATGACTATCCTGTTATGATCCACCTCAGGCCAATGCCTTCACTGTTAACTCCTAACCATGCCTTGGTAACGACTAGAATACTAACAACAACAACAACCCAGTGAAATCCTACAAGTAGGGTCTGGGGAGGGTAGTGTACACAGACCTTACCCCTACTCCAGAGAAGTAGAGAGGCTGTTTCCGATAGACCCTCGACACAATAAGATGAAAATGTGACAGTGTAGCAATACAGCAAAGGAATCCATAAAGATAACACAATGAAGTAAAAACTAACAAAAAATTAAATGAAGCACCCAACAAGAATAGCATCCAGAAAATAGATGATGAAAGACTGCAGAGAGATTGGAGCAAAGTTGAACATACCATAGCTTGTAACTTCAGCATTTCAGTCACTTGGGAAGCTGATTTGGCAGACAACCTTTCTAGCTCTTTAGACTTTCGGTTAAGAATACTAAGTTTGATGAAAACAGACACATTATTACCACTCCTCAAAATGCTTATTCATGTCAAGCCCCAGTTCTATCTTAACTAGTAGTTTGCACAAACTCCTTGAATTGCTGAGCGGGAGGATGAGCTTGGTCAAAGAATCAAGAGAACAAATGTGGTGGCTACTTTAAATAAGCACCAAATTCGGAGTGGATTACAATCTATTTCTGTTCCCACGCTGATTTAGTATTTGGTTTAGTCCGCAAGTTTACGCGTTAAAACCGAAATCTACATTTCCAGATCACTCTGCTTCCACTAGCACCATACTAGTTATAAGCTCTATTAACTCGCGCTGTCTAGTTGTGAGCTTTGCACTCATAAAAAAACTACAGAATCGGAACAAAAAGTACACTAAGGAGCTTAGATTAATATGGCTTGTTCATTCAAGTACAGAAATATATAATAGGAGCATCCGCACCACCATCTTTCAAGTGTCTACATTCACAGAGAAGATGCACAAAGCCACAAAAATTGAAATGGATCTCTAAGGGTTGGGTTTGTTCAAAATGGACAATGTAATTTTGTGCGATTGCATGAATATAAGGAAAACCAAAAGAAACATCCAAACTGCCAAAGTATAAAGAAGCCACCTCATATAAAATAGTGTATAATGATTGTACCTTCACTTCTGCCCTCAAATCCTCGAATGAGGCAGGCACAAATCCAAGGTCTTCCCGAGCGGGATGCCTTTGCACCCCCTTTTATTTCACCATTATGTTGTTTCAATCTACCAAAGAGATCGCCAATTAGAAGTCAGCAAACTTAGATACTATAAAAAAAGAAAAAGTTATATGAACAAATGACACAATATAATGATGCAGATTGCCGAAAATAGAAACCCACTAATCAAAAGTCTTCTTTTATCCTTTTTTTTGTTCATTTCTAGAATAAACGAGAGAAAGATGGAACTAACCGGCGAGAGAAATTGGTGGTGACACCAACATAGGTCTTGATAGGTGGATTTGTGGAGAGAATAAGGTATACACACCATAAAGATTTGATTTTTTTGCATTTTCTTAAATTATCGGATTCCGTTGAATCTGAAGCTGGCAATTTACAGCTTGTTGCTAATTCCGACCCATTTCTTAAGGAATCTGAAGAAGAGGGAAGCTGTGAGTTTGCAGCATCACACTTTCTTGTTTTCTTCAATTTGCTGGAACTTGAGGAAGATGCTATTGGATTTGAAGAACAGGTAATTTTTAGGTTAGCAGGCTTCAAGGATTCAAAATTTGTGGGTTTTTGTGGTTTCAGAAAATGGGGTTTCGTTGATTTGAAGATTGTTGATAAGGGCCTAACCATAGCGACGATCCCACAGTTTTGTGATCTGCAGTTGACCGTTAGCTTCAAAGAATGAATTTAGATTAAAAAGTGCTTAACCCAGGAGTTTATCTAACAGATTATGTTATCAGTCGTTTGTATAAATTTTTGTGTCTATTATTATGATTAATAATTAATGCCATTGATTCTTGATTCATTACAGCAACTGAGCAAGTGACATTTTCCATCCAGATCGTAGAAATGTTGAAGGAAAAAAAAAAATTGCAAGTTGGTAATGGCTCATCTATTTATCTGTGGCACGTAGTGGTGGCAAACGGGCGAGCTCGGGAAAGGTCGGGCATGGGATGGGTGAAACGGGTAATGAAAAACAAATAAATTATCTGACCCGATTTATATTTGATACGGATAAAAAAGGGTTAACCGATCCATGACTTCTTGAATATGATGATTTCTGGGAAAATTTCTAATCTCTCAAACTTGATTAACCCTCAATTTGAGGCTTTACAAATGTAAAAGCTAAATGGATAATATGGTTCTTTATCCATATTTGACCCGTTTTTAAAAAGTTATTATCCAACTCATTTTTTAGTAGATAATACGAGTGGTTAACTATTTTCTTTTAACCATTTTGCCCCCTAGTGGCATGTGTTCTCGCTACTGTGTTAAAACAGAAATTAGAAAACTGTTAGAAGAAACTGAAAAGCTGTAAATGATAAGAAATATTCTGAGTCCATAATTTCCTTGTGCGTCCTTAAGGAATTTTAACCCCCTCACAAGTTGCCAAGGTAATGGATTAAATCCTGCCAGGATGAAACGGAATAAACCTTCATGCAACAGTGGCAATACAAACTGCAGGATACCAATGAACTCAAAGAACGGAGCAAAATCACACTTATGAATTTGAAAAAGAACTGCGAAGTAGAATGCAGGATTTTCAGAAGGAAGTTTTGTATTTTTCCAGTATGTGATAAGGAAGCCATGCCTCAGAATTTATAGGCAATTGTCGGAAGAGGTGTGATGTCTGTTCATAATGTGAACAGATCTTTGAAAGGAAGAGGTGTCTGTTCATAATGTGAACAGAAGGAAAAAGCAGCGTTCAGCGTTTTGGATTATACATTCCAGTTAATTCTGTTAATGAACTGACTGGCACTTAATTAATTTTTAAACAATTAATTAAATAAACTTTGTCCAAAAAATTAATCTCATCGATCGATCATTTGACAATCAAAATCCGAAGCCGAGCCGGCAACGACGGCGCGAGGCTTAATTCTCTTCAACTTCTTTAAGGGCTCTAAGAAATGATCCTATATTTATACACACAAGTGTAGTTGTCCCTCACCAATGTGGGACAAAGTTCATTTGTCATAAATGACAAAGCTCACTTGATTCAAATTTTTCATTTCCCTCCATTTTATTTCCCACCATTTCCCAATTCACAATTCTAGTCTTTAAAGCCCAATGGCTTAAAGTCCAACAATCCCCCACATGAATGGGAATGACTGTAACAAGAATGAACATAGATGAAAGCTGTGTGATTTGCAAGTAAGGATTAATTGCATCTGGATAAGTAGGTTTCCCTTTGAACTTTCTGTAGTGAGCATATGTCGGATATGCTTGGTCAATCGGTAGATTTGATATCTTTGAACCGTCGAACTTTAGTGTATACCTAGACAACCATATGTCACACAACCAACCCTTAACTGTCTTTTGGTTCTCATTGTTGTGTTCGTTTCAGCCATGAACACCGCCTGGTTTCATAAGTGCGTAGAGAATTGGCCTTACAGAATTCTCATTGAAGCGGCTTCCACTTCACACCTACATAGGTGATTCCTAAACGTGTAATCCTTTAGATTGACACTATTTGATAAATACCACATCAAACTTAGGTAATCATTAAAAAAAGTGCAAAGTTCTATCATTGTTACTGAACATTGTCTTCATCACGAGAAGGGACCAAAGATTTTACTTTGCCAATGTTGAATCGGTCAATCACAACTTTGTTTGAGCTCCTTGAACCTAGATCTCGGAATATCCAAAATTCTAGGTAGAGTTACCGCCATGATGACTTGTCATCGGCCATAGTCCCATTCCCTTAGATAATTTCTCAACTCCCTCTCTAGTTAGGCCTTTGTAAGCGGATCCGCCACATTATCCTTTGATCTTACATAATCAATAGTGATAATTCCACTAGAGAGTAGTTGTCTAACGGTTTTATGTCTTTGTCGTATATGACGAGACTTTCCGTTATACATAACGCTCCCTGCCCGTCCTATTGCAGCCTCACTATCGCAATGTATGCATATAGGAGCCAAAGGTTTTGGACAGAATGGAACGTCTTCTAAGAAATTTCGAAGCCATTCAGCTTCTTCGCCGGCCTTATCCAAAGCTATAAACTCTGATTCCATTGCAGAGCGAGCGATGCACGTCTATTTGGAAGACTTCCAAGATACTGCTCCTCCGCCAACAGTAAAAACATATCCAATTGTGGACTTTGTTTCTGTTGAGCCGGTTATCCAATTTGCATCACTATATCCTTCGATAACCGTAGGATATTTATTGTAGTGCAAAGCGTGGTCTTGGGTAATCTATGGCCTTATGCCCGGTCTTTCCACAGTTGTGACAACTACCTTTGAACTTCTTCTTGTTCGGGTAATTCTTTGGTCCAGATGCCTTCTTTCTTTTCTTTTTATTTCCCGGTGCTTCCTTAACAATGTTAGATCCCATTATTGCCGAGTTGCCACGTGACTTCTTTTCAGCATTTTTGTTGTCTTCTTCTATCCTTAGACGAACAATTAGATCCTCAAGTTTCATCTCTTTGCGCTTGTGCTTCAAGTAGTTCTTAAAGTCCTTCCATAAAGGAGGTAACTTTTCAATGAAGGCAGCAACTTGAAACGCCTCATTTATGACCATACCTTCAATAAAAAATTTATAATTAATAATATTATTAATATTATTAATAAAATTATTGACTCGGGTCATACCTTCAGCAAGGAGGTCAAGCACGATGACTTGTAATTCTTGGACTTGAGTGATGACCGACCTAGTGTCAATCATCTTAAAATCCATAAATTTTGCAGCAACGAACTTCTTAAGTCCAGCATCCTTGGTCTTGTACTTTTTCTCAAGAGCATTCAATAACTCTTTTGAAGTATCCATGACACTACAAACATTATACAAGCCATCCTCCAAACAACTTAAAATGTAGTTTCTGCATAGGAAATCAGAGTGTTTCCATGCTTCAATTACCACAAACCGTTCAGCCTCAGGAGTATCTTCTCCCACGACTGGAACATCCTCCTTGATGAATCGTTGCATTTCTTAGTGTAGTTAGATAGAATAGCATCTTCATCTGCCAACGTTTGAAGTCTGTATCGGAAAATTTCCCGGGCTTTTCTACCGGTGCCATTGTATGTGCTGGTCTTGACGAGGCAGCAACACTCGATGAAGCACCCGTTCCAGCAGCATTTCCATTAGTTTGGGTTTCATTCGTCATGTTTCCGTAGAGTTGGAAACAAATAGAACTTTGTTAAATCAGTGAAGTTTTGATATCTTCAAACTGAATACCAAACCAAACATACAACACGTAACAATGGTATTTTTCAACCCGTACGTTTATTATTCCGGTAAAGTTTTGATATACTTTAAACCGGACAGAACAGTTATTGGAGTAGAAAGCACCAAAGCTTTAGTCTCCAAACTAGTATACAAAATGTAGATAACAGTTCAATATAGATTTCAACACAGAAACGTTAATTAAAATTCCTTAAGCTTGTTCTCGCTACTGTGTTAAACAGAAATTAGAAAACTGTTAGAAGAAACTGAAAAGCTGTAAACGATAAAAAATATTCCGAGTCCACAATTTCCTTATGCGTCCTTAAGGAATTTTAACCCCCTCACAAGTTGCCAAGGTAATGGATTAAATCCTCCCAGGATGAAACGGAATAAACCTTCCTGCAACAGTGGCAATACAAACTGCAGGATACCAACGAACTCAAAGAACGGAGCAAAATCACACTTACGAATTTGAAAAAGAGACTGCGAAGTAGAATGCAGGATTTTTAGAAGGAAGTTCTGTATTTTTCCAGTATGTGATAAGGAAGCCATGCCTCGGAATTTATAGGCAATTGTCGGAAGAGGTGTGATGTCTGTTCATAATGTGAACAGATCTTTGAAAGGAGGAGGTGTCTGTTCATAATGTGAACAGAAGGGAAAAGCAGCGTTCAGCGTTTTGGATTATACATTCCAGTTAATTCCGTTAATGAACTGATGCACTTAATTAATTCTTAAATAATTAATTAAATAAACTTTGTCCAAAAAATTAATCTCATCGATCGATCATTTGACAAATCCAAATCCAAATCCGAATCCGAATCCGAATTTGAAGCCGAACCCGAAGCCGAACCGAGTGACGACGACGGCGCGAGGCTTCATTCTCTTCAACTCCATTAAGAGCTCTAACAAGTGATCCTATATTAATACACACAAGTGTAGTTGTCCCTTACCAATGTGGGACAAAGTTCATTTGTCATAAATGACAAAGCTCACTTGATTCAAATTTTCCATTTTCCTCCATTTTATTTCCCACCATTTCCCAATTCACACTTCTAGTCTTTAAAGCCCAATGGCTTAAAGTCCAACAACATGTAAATGAGTCCTCACTTAAGGCAATCTCAGAAATTGTTTCATTGGGTCATCGAAAAATGAAATACTCAAGAAGGTACAAGGCATATATTTTTCAAGTGCAAAAATCAACTGCTTGGTGGAACAAGTTTTAACCGTTTGGCTCAAAAACAAAAATCTAAACCTTCGGAACAAGCAGTAAGATAATGATTAATGGATTAAAAACCAACATTCGGTAATAATAACTCTAAGTTCAATTCTTACCTAACTTGGAGCTACACTCCATCCATTGACACCTTTTGCTTTAAACGATTAACAGCTTTTTTATAGTAAAAATGAACATTCTAATAACATGGAATCACCGGACGGTGCCGCTCCGGTGCGTCTGGGAGGCCAATCAACTCCAAATAACATGGCGACCCAATTTGCTGATCCAATTGGCATGAATTTGAACTATGCTTCAAAGGTCGTCTCTTCGTCGTCTCCGACCTCTTAGATTTTCCAAGGCAGGGAGTCTGTAATTGCGACACACACCATACACAACGGCATGCCGGCGGTCCTTTTCAAAGCTACAGATTACTATGGTGTCATGGCTGAGGAGTGCAAGCTCACAATCGTGGGGAGATTCCTCAAAC